CCTATGATAGCAGTTTATAGAGAGAATGCAAGCCCTTGCATGACTTTTTAATTTTCATTGCTCTTTTCACACATACAGCAGCATATTGTGTACATTGGTCCCATCACTGCTTTATATTTTTGTGGTTCTTGGGATCAAACCCAGGACCTTATTCATGCTGGGCATGTGCGCTATCACTGACCCATGTGCCCAGTTCTAATAGCTACTTTGGAAGTGAATAATATATTTTAGAGATCTTTGCATATCACAGCATAGCAAGCATGAACTTTATCTAAATGGAATAACATTTATAGAACACTTAATATTATGAGTGACACATAATAGCTTGTACAGAATTAAGAAACTGGAAGGGCTCTCTCTCTCTCTCTCTCTCTCTCTCTCTCTCTTTCTCTCTCTCTCTCTCTCTCTCTCTCTCTCTCTCTCTCTTTCTCTGGCACACACAGACAAGAGAGACTGGCAAGGAAAAGATGTTTTCTGTGGTAAACTTGAGGGAACCCAGACAGTGACTAATTTTCTCAGGATTGAGACAAGCTGTGAGGCAGCTGCGTAACCACCCAGCAGACGGAGGCTGCACCTCAGAGAAAGGTTTCTGGCTCCAGGCAGGTTTTCTGAGAAGATAATGGCAGAAAGTGTAAGGTTTGTGAAAACAATATCAAACTATGTGGACAGTGTTCCCTAAAATAAGGATATGCCTTTTCCTTCTTATCTCTTCTTTTTATCTTTTAAAGAACAGTTCCATTTTTAATGAAAGACATGGAATAAGCACAGCTGGTAGTCAGAATGACCTAGGTTTAAATGCCTCTTCTGCCTCATTAAGACTTCCCTGAGCTTAGTTTTCTGGTCTGTAAAATGGGAGATAATAAAGCAGCCCCATGTGGCTGTGGTGAGAATCAAATAAAACCCCACACATGCTGGGTGGTGATGGTGCATTCCTTTAATCCCAGCACTCAGGAGGCAGAGACAGGCAGATCTCTGTGAGTTCGAGGCCAGCCTGGTCTACAGAGCAAGTTCCAGGACAGCTAGGACCGCACAGAGAAACCATGTCTCGAAAAACAAAAACAAAAACACAAAACAAAACAACAACAAAACTCACTACCACCACCAACACCACCAAAACCCCACACATGAAATACCCACTCCCCGGGATGATTTTGGCTACATCAGTATCTGGGTTGGAGCCACTGTCTCGTGTGTCTTCAAGCACCAACACACTGGTGTCCATTTCCAGTACTTACACCTGGTGATATCACCTCTAAATTGCAGGAAGTTTTGAAATGGCACAGTTGCAGAGAAAATCTTTGCGAGGCACAAAAAGGATTACAAAGGAGGCAGGGACTTCAGGTTGTCCTGGCCACTCCTTTGCATGCATCATTGATAGCCTTAGTTTGTTTTAGGCCTGGAGACTCAGTTTCAAAGAGAGCTACTGGACACTAGACACAAAGGCAAATGCTACTGTGTGACATATGAGTTTCTAAAGGGCTTTTTGATAATTTAAAAATAACCAATAAGGCAAGTAAGTAGTAATAATGGGGATGGCAGATCCTTCAAAAGTAGTTCTGGAGCGGGATGTATGGTTTGGTGGTAGAACACAAGCCTAGCATGCATGAGGCCCTGCGTTTAATTCACAGCACCACATGAAGAAGTACCTTTTGAATGTAATGCTTTTTAGTATGGTATTCTTCCATTTTTTGGTACTCAGGAGGTTAACAGTCAGCACCTACTTTTCATAGGCTTCTGTGAGAGGGATATACATGGTACCCTTTGTTCAATAACTGCTCTGTTCAGAGCGATAAACAGAACATAATGAAGGCCAGATGCGTGAGTGGTTTTGGCAAACAAATAAATAAAAGAAACATTCATTTCAGAAGAGGCACATAGGAGATAATTGAATAACGAGGGCCAGCAAGATGGCTGGGTGGGTAAATGTACTCACAAATAAGCCTGATGACCTGCGTTTGACCCACAGGATCCACATGGTAGAAAGAGAGAGCAAGCTCTCTGGCAAATGGTCCTCTAACCTCCACACGTGTGCTGTGGCACACGTCCTCCAAATAAATGAATAAATGTAATAAGAACAACGAATGAAGGTGAGTGAAGTCCCAGTGTGTACTAAATCAGTTTGTGGGAAAAACAGTATACCACCCTAGCTAAAGCACAGATTCCATGTGGAGAAATGGTGTGAAAAGTCATCAGACTGGAAGATGAGACTAGATTTTGTTTAAAATGGGTTTACTTGGTCACTACATTGGAGGAATGCAGAAACTTGAGCCAGGGACTCTAATTAGGAAACAACAGCTTTTGTCTATGTATGGAATAATAATAATAATTCCAATCCCTTGTATTAAAGAAATGATAGGGCTTGGTGAATGACTAGTGAAAAATAATGAGGAAAGGGGGTTATTAAATGTGAGGGGGATTGTTAGAAGTGACACTGGGGCATTTTGAAGTCTGAGTCACTAAGGGGATGGTGGTAGTATTATCAGAAAGTAAGACAGTCAGGTTTATTGTAGAACTTTTTTCAGACAAGACAAAAGAATGGCATTTTAGACATCTCTAAATGGGTGTGTCTAGCAGTGTTAGAGATGCCATTCAGGAGCTCTGGAGCTAAGTCAGTTATCCAAAATTCAGATGTCATCCTTCTCTCTGTGGTCACTACCAGAGACTCCATTTCCTATCTTGGCTTCAACTCTGATCAGAATAGGGAAATTGCCATGAAATCCAAGGAAGGGGGACCAATAAGAAAAGGATGTGCTTGCTGCTGTTTGAGAGACTGAGAGTGAAGCTCAAGGCCATACGATTTGGTGATCAAGGGGAGAACTATCCTTTTCCAGATGTGTTGTGTCAGCTGGGGAGACGTGGGTGGAAGGGGAATTTCGAGTCAGAGGTAGTAGTTGTGCACCATTAGCAGCGAAAAGAAGACAATAAGGGCATAGCTAGAAAGGAGCGGAGAAGACCCCCAAGCTGGGATCTTTTGTCTACTGGAACTGCCTTCTCAGAGGTCACCATTTGCCTCCTCAGGAACTGAAAGAGTTGCTGTCATTTGACCTCTTTGTAATGCTTGACATAGCCGATTCCATATCGTTTCCATATTTCTAAATTTTCATTTGCAGCTTTTGTAATATTCTTGATAGAAATCTTCTTCTGCACTGACCTCTCTCTCTCTCTCTCTCTCTCTCTCTCTCTCTCTCTCTCTCTCTCTCTCTCTCTCTCTCTGTACATGCACACAAGTGCGTGCTCACACATGCAGTTGTGTCTGTGTGTCCTTGTCCATGTGGTACCAGGGACTGAACTCAGGTTATCAGCAAGCTCTTTCTACCAGTGGAGCCATCTCATTGGCCCCTGGTTTACTTTTTAAACTTTGTCCTTCTGAAAGGAGGGTTTTTAGAGTCTGCCTTGGTATTCAGATTGGCGTCCTTCCGACATTAGTTTCTTGATCCCTTAGCACAGCAAATCTGCACTGAATCTTATCATCTCCTTTGAAACATCTCTGGAATACATCCTTTCATTGTGATGCTGGGACGCAAAGCCAGGAGAGTTTTCTACACTCCATGCATTCACTCTGCTATTGAGCTATACCTCTAGTCCCTCTGGGGTCCATCCTTACTCTACATTTATTTGCCCCCAGATTCGAATGTTTCTACTTAACATTTCTGTAATTGACTCCTGGAAACTCTCCCCAACTCAGGCTTTACTTCTTCCAACTGTATTTTCTAAACAGAATAACCTAGTTAGTCTTCTGAATTACCTTTTACAGTGGCACTCACCTGTGAAAAACCATATGACCACTCTTTAGAGCATAACAGCTAAACTCTTACGTATGCTCAGGAAAGCACGGACAGAGATAATCATAAATTGAAGTCATATTTGACATCACCTGAACTAATTTGCTATCCAATAAAGGAATTACTATTCAGCATTCTTTCTGACTCTCCTTAGAAAGACCCCCTAGGAGCGGGGCGGTAGTGGTGCTCGCCTTTAATCCCAGCACTCAGGAGGCAGAGCCAGGCGTATCTCTGTGAGTTCAAGGCCAGCCTGGTCTACAGAGCGAGATCCAGGACAGGCACCAAAACAACACAGAGAAACCCTGTCTCGAAAAAACAAACAAACAAAAACAAACAAAAAAGAAGACCCCTTTCCTAATTTACTCTTTACATTCAACTCCATTCTCTTATTCTCTACTGCTCCACTCATACTCCACCCCTTCAAGTCAGTGTAATTTCTTCTTAGTTCCCTAGGGCAGTGAATTTGGTTTTACCTTAATATCTTTGGCCATCTGCTTTGGCAAATGTCTGCCCATCACCTTTCCCAGTTCATAACAGTCTGCTCATCATTCGCGGCCTATTCTGAATGTCATCTTTCATGCATGACCACTTTCCTGAATTCTTCATCTTACATTCCCACTTCACTTATGGCTACCACACAGTTTCACACTTATTTGCTTTGCACGTGTTAATTTTATTCTCACTTCACGCCCAACATAATGCAAGCCCGACCAGGGGGCCAGAACCTTGTAGCAGCCTTTGTATTTCCCACAGACTCACCCTGCACAGGAATAGGCATAGAGGAGCTACTCAGTGCGTGCTTAATGACTCATAATAGATGAGCATCCTTCAGGCCAGGGAAGGCAAACCACAGAGCAAGTCAGTAACCAAGTGTGTAATTAGAAATCATACCACCCTTGCTGTGTGTGGAGGTGCCCACGTGTAACCGCAGCACTGAAGAGGCTGAGGCAGAAGGGTCTTGAGTTCAAAGCTGTCCAGGGATACATAGTGAAGAAAGCAAGAGGGCTTGGGCTCAGTGCTAGAGTGCATGTCTAAAAACAAACATAGGGCCAAACAAAAACAAAAGAAAACAACGACGATGAAAATCATAGCTCTTGATGATTCTATGAGCTGCAGGTCTGACACATATGAGCTAAGCATGGATGAGGCAGTTTCTGGGAAGATCCGGGTCTTAGTCAAGAAACCTTCCTTCCCGAGCTTGAGAAACGTGAGAATTACCTCTGTAGTCCAGAGTGCGGGCAGCGGGGACCTCTTCTGCATACACTTCATTGTAGCTTTCGTCTGGATACTGGCCTGAGCCTAGAACGAGGAGCAGAGTGTAAAAGTGTATTCATTTCTCACCCAAGTTCTTCCCAGTACCCTACCCCCTGTGCTTTTCTGAAGACCCGGCACTTCATGAGAGGGCTTCCAAGTGATTCGTGAAACTGTAGAACTACTGTGGGTGAGCTTGATCACGTGAGGTACACAGACAGCAACCTCGGAGGGGTAAGGTGTGGTGGGGGCTCTGGATGTACTAGGAGACTTTCAAAACAAAAGAATTGGACTTCTTAACCACCTATCAATCCTGCCAATCTAGACTATCAACGGCCCACTCCCTTGATGAAGCTTGGTGAGACACTGATAGCCAAGCTCTGGGGATGGACTGCGGTCCCCGTTCTGAGGAAATAATAGCGCTAAGTGTCTCCTCCAATGACAGGCATGCACATGGTTCTCAAAGGGAAACGGTATTTCAAGCTCTCTCCTTAGCCTACAGGGCACAGTAAACACCTGATTGTTATTGCTGCTGTGGCATGCCAAGGCGGAGATGGATGGCTGAAAGGGCAAAAGGGAACAAGAATTCTTTCATAAGCACTTTATTCTGCCTGGGAGTCAAAAGAGAAGTCAGAGTTCTTTGGTTTTGTTTTGTTTTTTTCCTCTCAGTGCTAGTGATTGAACTTAGGGCCCCCTACACGTAGTTCAGCAGCTCTACCGCTCTCACAGCTCACAGCAAGCTCTGTCTCCCAAGGCAGAGTCCTTGGGATAATTTCCTCTTCTTCCGGTCAGGAGCAGCATTAGCAGTGAGCGGCTGCTCAACTAAAAAACATTCCCAGTCTATCTGCTTCCATTCAGTCAAGTGGCCCAGTTCCTGGTGGTGGCAGGTCTGCGGCTGTCGGGAAGACTAAACAGTATGTTCCACCAGACGCAGGAAATCGGACATGAATGTGAACTAATTGGAAAACAATTTAGTTCTTTCCGTAGCAAAGTTTCCGGAAGGCCTCCTCTAATGCCCATGTGCTCTAATGCATGTTCAGGGACAGGGCAGCCAGCCTGTTGGAGTCTGCAGACAATTCTCCTTTTCCAGGAGAGCCTTTGTTCTTCCAGGACGGGGCTGGGCTTTCGAGCTGGAGCCCTTTGGCCTAGGTAAACACACAGAATGTAAGCCTGTAGGCTTTTCTTGGCCAGAGGCACAGGGACTCCTGCACCACAGGGTGGAGCAGAGGGCAAGATGATGCAGCTCCCTGCCTCCCCGTCGCCCAGGCTAGGAGTGTGTGTGTGTGTGTGGGGGGGGGGGGGGGGGCGTGGATGTCAGTCCAACTTGGTAAACATGG